CACCCCCTCTTCCACAAAGGTTGGAGCTGTTGGCCTGTTAGGTTCAATATATGTGCCCCCATCCAAGGATACACACATTCTAGTCTCTTACTCTTTGAAAGCTGTCCTGTTGTGGCCTTTGGCATACATTGAACTCTCTTTGTAAAAGCTTTACTGGTGAGAGTGGAAGGATGCAGTATCTTTCCCTCTACCCCTTATTATGCTAAGTTACAGGATCCTTAGTTGCAGAGGTTCAGCTGTAGATGTGTCACCTAGTACTTGCATCTCAGACGTATATTTCCTGTGCCTGTCCAGCTGTGGAATTCTGCAGCACCTTGATCTGTTAAAAAAGAAGCTTCTCTGATGGGTGGTGTATGCACTTATTTCTAACTATGAGGCTCTATATTTACTTTAGGGTAAGAAATTTCACTTGTCTAGAGGTATGAAAGAGGTAGGATTTTCTGTAAGAGCTATTTTCTGTTCTGCCATCTGTATGGGAGTATGACTGAAATGGCAGTGCTAATTGAATTGATCATATAAATATAAAACCACAAGTTACAGCAGCCATTATGACAATGCATTGGAAAGATTCACCATGCCTACACGTATGCACGAGCTTCCCTGTGTCTGTGTGTGTGTGTGTGTGCGTGTGCATGCATGTGCATATGTGTTTATGTGTTCATGTGTGCATGTGTGTTTATGCTTGTGTGTTTCTCTGTGTCTGTGTCTGTGTGTGTGTGTGTCTCTATGTCTGTATCTGGGTGGTGGTCTGTGTACCTCTGTGTGTCTGTGTGTTCTCCTATTCTGTTAATCAAGAACTGTCTTCTTCCTGCGTCTTTCACATAAGAAAATTCGTAAAAAATGCATTCAGCAATCATATTTAACTATTGAAGAACACATGAAACTCATTTGTAAATCTCTAATGTTAGTTAAAGTAGGAAGTCATCAACCCAGGAATTCAGAGCACTTGACAAATGGTTCCTCCATGTCTGTTAAAGCTATTGCGTTGTCTTCACATTTCAGGGAAGCAAAACGAGGGATACCAGTAAAACCTCCATGGAGAAAGCTTCTGGGGGCCGGTACACGTAAGTTCTTTGCGTAGGACTGCTCTAAGTCAAAGAGTAAAAATTCTTAATTCAAAAAGGAAATAAGAAAATGAAGTGCAAAGTGCAGTTCTATTGTTTATTTTTCTGTTTTAAAATCATATTTTAGATAGTTTGAGAATTCAGACATTGTCCTTCCCATTTGTCTCTCAGACCCTCCCCCCCTTCTCTACCACTGCAGCCACCAGTACTCCCTGTATATTGTAATTGAATATTCATGCACTTGATAGAAAACATCTTAATCATCTTTCGGCCCCTCTCCCCATCGGCACCTGTCATAAACCACTCCCACCATATTTTTATGTATCCTGTCACATGTATTAAGGCCTATGAAGTCAAGGGAGTATAGACAGTTGTCACTCGGTACATGGTCATCCACTGGAGTCGATTGAGCCTATCTAGGAGCTGAGCTTTGTACCCACCTCTTCCTTTCACGTGATGCTTTCATCTGGTTTCCGCTTGCTCAGGTCTCGTGCATGCCCTCACAACCACTGCTTGTTCATGTGTGCAACTGCCCTATTGTGTTCCATCCACCACTTCTGGCTCACATGACCTCTCCACCACCTCTTCTAAAAAGCTCCCTGAAACTTCGAGCCACAGGCCTGATAGAGATGTCACATTTAAGCTTAGCACTCTGCACTCTCATCTTCTGTACACACTGACCACTTACCAGTCACTGGTTTACTTGCCATGTGCTGCACAAGGAAGTATCTCACAGGCTCACTGAAAGATGATTTGATTTTCGGTATAATGATAGGCGCTGGGTTTCATACAATGTCCCTTTAACAGAATCACATTAGTAGGATTTTTACCTCTAGGCCTGTGACCTGCCTGTTCTATGGTTCTTGGCCCTGAAAATGGTGACATATGAGGGTTCCATCATTTGAAGAAGGTCTCAATCCAACCAGAATGCGGCTGGATACTTCTATAATATTTCTACCACTAGTGTACCAGTGGGCATATCTTTCCATGACAGTTATGGTCAAAGCCCCCAGGTCTCACACCTGGATAGGACTGATTAATCATTTCCATCTCCAATAGCATGCATACATCTACTAGCACGATGGAAAGTCACCACACTACTGGAAGAGAAAGGTTTCCTGAATGCTAGCCAGGTGAGATGTAGTTGAAAGCCGGTATCAGTCTCATTTGGCCATGTTCTGTGCTTTGTGTAGATAGTGTCATCAGCATCAAGCTCTTACTTCAAGTTCTGGAGGATAACCAAGAGCAAACGCAAAGTCCAGTATCATGAGATGGACTGTGCGTGAGAAATCCCCCCTCCAGCATCAACAACTGTAAAATAGGGAGCAGACTTCTCACAATGTGGTTGTTATTTGACAGCCTGTAATGTCTGATAGGGAAATTGTCTCCCTCTACATTGTGGGGTACCTCCATTTAATATTGTTTTTAAATGTGTATGTGCATTTTTAGGAAGCTTCTACAATAGAAGGTTTTCAATGATTTTTTCAAACTGCCTTTATTTTTTGGGATCCCACTCTATCCATTTTCCTCTATACTGCCCTCACTAGATGCACATCACTTACGCTTTCCTTTTCCATTATTTCCCTTTACCCCATTTACTTTAGCATATTCCCTCTCCCCTCCCATATCCCCTTCCTGTTTTCCTGCACTCTGTGTATTTTTCCCATTGAATCTCACCTGACTTAAGACTGAAGGCTCATGTTTACATATGAAAGAGAAGGAGCTATAGTTGCTGTACTCAGGGTGACTACTTCCAGCTCCCTCTACTCCTCTGCCCATTCATCATTTCATTTTTGTTAATAGGTAATACTAGGATCCATACTAACATAGGATTAGTTCTGTCTTTTTAATGTGTTATAATTTTGTGTATAAAAAAATCATTTTACCTTTGTTTCCAGAATCCAATGCCATCACGACTAAGTGTCCCTCACCAAGGTAAAAGTTTATAGATCTTTAAATACATTATACAATTGAAGACTTATAAAGATAGGAAACTAATCTTCTTGAAGGTACTCTAAAATAGAACCTTTATTATCATCTTAATGCCTGCTGTATCTCATAGTCACTACACTCTAAATCAATGCCATTTCGGTCAGAGAAGATGCTCTTTTTTAGTTCCATTCACTTATACATATTTTGAATATGCTCATCCACAACTTCTGGAACTCGCTTTCTTCTAGGGAGGTGAGCCTTTACAAAAAAACACAACAGAATTATTCTCCCTGCCTATTCCAAACCTGTTTTGGAGTCCCCATATTAGCCTGGAACTGCAAGAGGAATAATTGAGGATGCCTTTCTTGTGTTTTCTCACAGCACACACAAATTGGCATCATTCTAAGTTATTATATATCCCTCGAGCAAGAGCATTCAGCACGTTTTCATAGATGGTGGGGATCTCACACCTGCCCTTCACCAATACACACACCAATTCAATTCTATCCTCAAAGGACCTTTTTACCACTAATGAATTATCTTAGTTTAAATTAAATTATTTGGATTTAAGAAACCCATCTCACGTCATGAGTATTTATCATTGGTCTGTAAACTTGGGTTTTCCCTTTCATGTTAATTGGACATAAACACAGAGCAGAAGGAACATTTCTATAATGATTTACTGGCTCAAACATTCGTTAGGCAGGCATAAACACCAGCACCACAATAACTGAGTCATGGAGGGCAATCGTGTCCCCAGTTCTCTTGATCAATACAAGAATCAACCTCTAGTTGCACTTTGTTAATGTGGGGCTCCTAGCTGTGGTCAGGGCAGATGGCAGATGGAGGGTGGGGGTGTTTGAGAGGGAGCTGTGGTTTCAATCAGGGCATAATTCGTCCCAATTCTTTCATGTGAGAAGAGTTGACAGGTTGTATGGAAAGAAATCACCAACCATATGTAAAGCTTGAAGCACAAATTAAACGTTGTTTATAAATTTCTTTAAAAAAGGGAGCATCATGCCTGCAAGAAACCAAAGAATTCAGAGCATTTCAGATTTGTTTCTTCGTATGACCCATTGTGGAATTCTGCAGTCACCTCCATTGGTTAAAAAAGTAGCTTCTCTGATGGGTGGTGTATGTGATTATTTGTAACTACAAGGCTCTATATTTACTTCATGGTAAGACATTTCACTTATCTAGAGGTTTGAGTGAGGTAGGATTTTCTGTCAGAGCTATGTTCTGTTCTGCCATGTTTATGGAAGCATGACTAAAATGGGAGTGCTAATTGAACTGGTCATATAAATATAAAACCACGAGTTACAGCAGCCATTATGACAATGCATGGGAAAGAATCACCGTCTTCCTACACATGTGCATGTGCTTCGCTATGTCTGTGTGTGGTTGTGTGCCTGTGTGTATGTGTGCGTGTGTTTATGGTATGTGTCTTTGTCTGTGTGTGTGTATGTGTATGTGTGTGTATGCGTGAATCTTTTTCTGTGTCTGGGGATGTGTGTGTGAGTGTGCTTGTGTGTGTGTGTGTGTGCATGTATGTGTGTGTTTGCATGTGTGTTTCTGTGTCTGTGTTTGAGGGGGGTGTGCGTGTGTGTGTCTGTGTGCTGTTCTGTTCGGTTAATCAAGAAGTATGTTCTTCCTGTTTCTTTCACATTATAAAAGTTGTAGAAAAACATTCAGCAATCATATTTAACTATTGAAGAATACGAGAAACTCCTTTGTAAATCTCTAATGTTAGTTAAACTAGGAAGTCATCAACCCAAGAATTCAGAGAATTTTGTAAATGGTTCCCTCATGTTTGTTAAAGACATTACGTTTTCTTCATATTTCAGTGAAGCAAAATGAGAGAAACCAGTAAAACCTCCACGGAGAAACCTTATACTGACACGTAAGTTCTTTACGTGGGAATGTTCTAAGCGAACTAAAGAGTAGAAATTTTTAGTTCAAAAAGGAAATAAGAAAATGAAGTGTAAAGTGCAGTTCTATTGTTTCTTTTTCTGTTTTAAGATCATATTTTATTGATAGTTTGAGAATTCAGACAGTGTCCTTCCCATTCTCCTCTCAGGCCCTCCCCCGTTCTGTACTACTGCAGCCACCAGTAGTATGTCATGTTTAGGCCTAGCGCTCTACAGTCTCTTCCTCTCTAAACACAGACCGCTAGCCAGCCACTGTGTCACCTTCCATGTGCC